CGCAGGGGCAGAGAACGAACGTGAATGCCACGCAAAAGATTAAATAAACAACAAATGGGGGACTGTGCTTACACTCCTCCTATAGATAAAAGCCCGATTTCCTTACTATACAAAGAGCTCTTACAAATCAATAAGAAAAAGACCAACCAGAACCCCCCAAGTAGACAATGAACAGCACACGAGTGGATGGTGCACAGGGCAGGAGACAGGCGTGGTGGCGATTTCACCTTTAGCAGGAGAAAAGCAGACGTTCTCTGTTCGAAGGGCGGAGAGGGCCATTTCTCACCTGCGACAGTGGCCTGGATCGTGAGGCTTGGTGGCGTGGTGTGTCCAGGTGGCTGTGGGGAAACAGACGCTCTCGCCGCACACAGGTGGGAGTGTAGACTGGTCAGCCCTCGGCACGTAGATTACACACGTCCGTATCTTGGACGAGCAGTCTGTCCTCTTGTGCCTTTTGAACGTTGTTCCAAATCATCCACGTATGACCTACTGGAGACGTTTGTCAACCCTGCCCATGAAGCCCCCCTGGCTGCTATGGGTGTGCAGGGGGCAGGAGGCGGCCGTGGCTGACCACGTGAGTGGCCAGGGGGCTCGGGCCCGAGTGGCAGCCAGGAGCGGGAGACCAGAGGTGGACTTATCGGCTATCAGTGCTCAGAGGTCAGAGGGGCCCGAGGACCCGACTCAAGGCCGCGCCCTGGCCGGGCCGGACACCAAAGGGAGCAGGCCAGGCTGGGAAGGAGGCCTGGAAGGGTCCGTGCGGCTGGTCGCCTCTCAGATCCTCCCCTGGCGCTGTTTTTTGCTGGAAAATCAGTTCTGCAAGTCCAGCTGGGCCCTGGCCAGGAGCCGCGGGGAGCAGGGCCAGTGGATGCTTCCCGGTCTCCTCGGGGCCCGTTCTGGGCCCAAACTGGCAGGTTCAGGAGGGGACCAGCCCGAGGTGGGGGCCCAGAGGCCGCAGGGAGAAGGGCCTGACTCCGTCCCTGTCCCCTGCCCAGACCACCCCAGGATGACTGTCCCACACCTTCCCAACTTCCTGCCAGGGCCCCTCAGGAGCTGTCCCCAGCCATAGCGAAGGACGTTTCAGGGAATGTAGTAGCCCAAGACGCACGGGTGGCCGGGCTGGGCCTGCCTTGTGACGCACGCCCGGCCAGCGCAGTCAGCGGACTGTCCCACACCTTCCCAACTTCCTGCCAGGGCCCCTCAGGAGCTGTCCCCAGCCATAGCGAAGGACGTTTCAGGGAATGTAGTAGCCCAAGACGCACGGGTGGCCGGGCTGGGCCTGCCTTGTGACGCACGCCCGGCCAGCGCAGTCAGCGCCCCTGGGCCTGGAGAACCACCTCGTTGTGCTTGTGGACCACAGGACCCTCGCACAACTACGGGGTGGGACATCTCGGGCATCTCAGCCCTTCCTGGATGGAAGCCGCGTTTTGTGCTTCGTGGTTTGTGCCTTTGCTGTCCCGTTTAACAAGCCATTCCCCGCCTCCCCAGCCCCAGCCCCAGGAGTTCGCCTGCACACCCGTGCACGCCCGTGCACACCCGTGCACGCGTGCACACACAGGCCACAGGCACGCATGCCTGGCTCTGCCCCTTTCTCTAGCCCATCCAGCCCGCAAGCCGCTTTATGTCGGAACCGCTGTTGGCTACTGCTTGCTTTTTAACATGCCCTAATTCCACAGTCCCACAGGTCTTTGTTAGTCCACATGCATTTGGGGATGACATTGTTGAATTTGTTGAAAATAAACTGCTGGAGTGTGACGGGGTTGCCGTGAGTGTCTACGTCGATCGGGAGCGTGTATATCTTACAGCAGCGCCCCTCGGACGCGGGTGGTCTCCAGTTGAGCTAATTCCCAGGCTACTGGTTAAGCCTGTTCCTCATCCCTCCTGGAACCCGTTCAGGGGCCACATGCCAGACCCTGACGAAGTGAAGAGGAAGGCAGGAGGCATGGGGACGGCCTGCCCGGCGTGCCCGTGGTGACCCATGGCTGGCCGTGGCCCCGTCTCACAGATGAGGGGCCAGGCTGGCGGGGGGCTCCTTCCTGGGACACGCCTGCCTAGGGACGGGAGAGTGGTTCCAAGGAAGCTCTTCTCGGGGATTAAAAGATATTTTTGGCCCTCGCATCTCCAACTCGAAGTCACGTCCCAGCGTCCGGGCTCGCTTGCTGCCAGCCTGGAGCCGCTGACGAGCTCTTGGTGCCGCTCCTTTCTCGGGGAGAAGACCCAAGGCCGTGACCTCCGGGCCTGGGTCCAGAGGACACGCTTGGGGCCCCCGCTGGCCTCCCAGCAGGGGTGGCCTAGCCCAGCGTGGGACCTGGGACCCCAGGACCCTCCCCAGCACTTGCCGTGCGACGGGGCTGCCCCACCCTCTGGCAGAACTCCTGGTCTCCCCACGGCCCCTCTGCAGCCCCGCAGTGGCGGCAGTAAACGTCAGCCTGTCTTCCAGCCCGTGGCCAGCCCCGTGGAGTGACCGCCACTGCCCACCCCTGCCTCCCACACCCGGCACCGAGCTCTGCACACGCAGCCTCTGCAGCCTGGGCTCCTGCCTGAGGACAGATGAGTGGGGCAGTGGCGAGGGGCTCGGCCAGGCTGGCCACACCTGACTGAAGCCCCCACAGGCTCTGGACGGTGCGGTGGGGGCAGGGAGGGGTTCAAGAGCCACGTAGCCTCAGGAGCCTAAGGAGAGTGTCCCATCCAGAGGCATTGGCCACCCTCTGCCCTGTGCTCCAGACCAGAGAGGGGGGCCCTGACGCTATGGGAGGGTCCTGTCAGTGTGGGGGGATCCTGACGCTCTGTGGGGTTCTGATGCTGTTGGGGGGTCCTGAAGCTCTGGAAGGTTCTTACACTCTGGGGGGATCCTGACAGTGGGTGGCCTGACACTGGAGGGAGTCCTGACACTGTGGAGGGGATGTCCTGACACTCTGGGGAGGGGGTCCTGACGCTGTGTGGGTCCTAATATTGTGGGGGAGGTCCTGACACTCTGGGGATCCTGACCTGTGGGGGCCTGACGGGTGCCTGGGCTGTCACACCTTCCCTGGGGAACAAGGTCAGTAACAGGGCTGGTCCTGAGGAGGGGCCTGGGGTCACCTCAGCACCAGCACAGCCCCCTGGCACCAGCAGGATTCGGCCCCTCCTGGGAACAGTCCTCTAAGTGACTCTGTAGGGCACTCTTTCCGCTTAGGGATTTGGCATCACACTGTGATCTCATAAAGCAGCTGGGAGGTGCAGCCTCCTTCCTGTCCTCCGGAAGAGCCTGTGTGACACTAGCGCTGCTTCTTGTTTGGACGTTTGCTGAGACTCACCACCGACGTCATGGATCTGGAATTTTCTTTGAGGAAGGCGCTGTGAGTTCAATCTCTTCAACAGTCGTGGAGCCTTTCAGACCTTCTAACCTTCTGTGGCAGTTTTGGTGGTGATGTTTTTTCATTGCTTCTACATTTTCAAAGTTTGCAGCACAAAGTCATTCGTCACCTCCTGTCACGGTAATGACTGCAGGTCGCGGAAAGAACTTCCCGTTCATTCCTGGTTCCCATGTGTGTTCTAGTTTTATTTTTTTCATATGTCTGGACAGAGTTTGTCAATTGTACTAAATTTTTCAAAGAAATGACTGTTGAATTTGTCAGTCCTGCTATGTGCTTGTCCCCTTTGATTAACTGCCAGTCTTATGTCTCCCATCTCCGTCCATCCAGGCTCTTACGTTTTATTTGTCATTCTCTCTCTAGCTGCTTAAAGTACAGCTTAATTTCGGCCTTTATTCTTTTCTAGTATTTGTACCGTGGCTTAAGTTTTCTTCCGCTTCCAATCAAAACGTTCGCTTGTGGGGCTGTGGCGAGGACCCGTGTGACAGTGCCCTGCCTGCCCACGAGGCTGCCCCACGCACGCGATGGCCGCTGTCAGACCCTCGTCCGCAGCCCCGCGCCCCTCCTTACGTGTCCACAAAGAACCGCGCGGAATGCCTGCGTCTCAGGCCACGGCTCTCCAGGGCCATGAGCCTGGCTCTGTGACCGGCAGGACAGGACTCTGCCCACGCAGGAGGCGTGATGAGTTCTGGAGAGGATAGAGAGAAACAGAACTACACACAGGCACGCGCTTCAGCGGAAGATCACAACACCCGAGCAAAGAGAGGATTCTGGAAACAGCCATCAGGAGAGAACCAGCGGACGGTGACAGAAGCTGGAGGATGACGGGGTGACAGGGCAGAGCATCGAGAAAAGTGCCCACCCTGGGATGCTGCGCCCCACCAGCGCACTTCCTGCACAGGGTTGCCACGGGTGGTATCGTGGACCGAGATCACCCCCAGTGGGCCATGTGCAGAAGACCGCAGGGTGAGCTCCAGGGCACAAAACCGCGGAGCACAGTGGGCTGCAGGGACAGGAACCAGTGTGAGTGGCTGGAGGACCTGGGATGTGGCACCAGCACCATGGCAAGGGCTTGTGGAGAACACAGCCTCGGGGAGTCTAGCAAATGTCACCGCGCATGGAGCCATGCGTGGAAGAGGTGTGGGGCAGGGTGGAGCGCAGGGGCCCGAGGCCACCACGGGAGGCTCGGCTGCCCCATGCGTGCCCGGGGTCCTGAGTGAGGGCAGGGCCTCCCAGTGTGCACTGGCAGGGCTTCCAGAGGAAGCTCGTGAAGGCTGGGAGCTGGGATTTGAGCAGGCCGTGGGTAAACAAACAGGTCTGACCTGGAGCCCAGGTGAGCGGCCACCGTTTCCTCCGTGTGTTTCTGCAGGTGTCCAGGCCGTGCTCTCCGCGGACCCTCCCGGTCCCACCTGCAGCCCTGAGCACCGTCCGGTCCTGGCCAGCCCACAGCTTCCCTCGGCAGCCGCACTTTGGGCAGCCGCCTCCAGGGCAGGCCCCCAGGCCCAGCACGCACAGCGACCCGTCTGCCCCTGCCCCTTCTCTGGGTCTCCCCAGGGCTGCCTGTTTCCAAGAGGCCAAGTCGGACCCTGGAGGCCACTACAGCCAGGACTGAGACGAGACGAAGCCACCAGAACAGACATGAGGCATGACGGCTCTTTCTGGGATTTTTATTTCTTTAAAATAATTCATACAAATGGTTACAGTCACGAACATGATTTTAACCAAAATATTGCTAGCCTACCACATCAGCAGGACGGCACCAGCGCAGGCGGGGACGCTGCCGTCCCTCCGCGTCCCCCAGGACAGACGTCGACGGCCCGCAGGCGCACCGGCCTGGCGCACACTCCTCCCCGAGGCGCTTCGCGGTGCCGTCTTCATTTGGAGCACGGGGGTTCATGCCAAAATTAGGAAAAACAGCCTTTGTTTTGTTTTTCTAAGTAACTCTAAAAATAAGACAAGCAGGTAGAAAAACAATGCACTGTGTGGCATAGAAAGAAAAACGGGAAGGATTCATTGTCCTGAGAAGTTTGCCAACTGCCTCACTCCGGGCACGTTCCCACATATAAAAGAAAAATAATCTCGAATTGACTCGCTGAATGCTCCCGCAGGTCTTTCTTGTTGACAGCTAAGCAAACAAATCCCCTGTAATGTTCTAAAAACTGTACACAGACAAGAACATTCATGATAGAATTAACTACTAACTTCTTTTGCTGAACGAGGAACGCAAAGGACACGGGGCAGGGACCCAGCCCACAGGGCTGGACGAGCACAATCCACACGAGGGGGCCACGGCCCTCGCCGCCCGCACGCCCGGCCGGTCTCCGGGGCTGCGGCCGCTACGCAGTGCCACCTCCGCGCAGGGGGGCCGGGCTGTGCGGCGCCGAGTGCCGGGTGCTGAGGCTGGAGAGCTCCTCCCGGGCTACAACTGGTCACTCGAGTGGTCTCTGTCCGCCTCAGGCTTGACAGTTTGGCCGGGAGAAGGGGCATGGGGTGGGTGGGCCACGGGGGGCAGGCCATGGGACAGGGACATGGCGCTGGGGACGATGCCTTCAACAGCGGCTGGGATGCCTGTGGGGGCCACGCCCACCACGCCCGGGGGGTACCTGCTGGAAGAGGACGGTCAGCGTGTGAGGTCCCACCTGTGGGGAGGGGGCTGTTTCCAGGGAGGACCCCCTCTTGGCAGACACGCCCCCACAGGATCTCTTCCTTGGTGGGGCACGGGCAGCACTGGGGGATGGCCTCCCTGCCCTGCCATCTCTAGGTGACTTAATCACGAGGTCCCTGCCACACCCTGAAACCTCCTCCTCCCAGGACCCCTTGCTGCCCTCTGCGCCCAGTGAGGCCTCTGCCTCTTGATCCTGCATCCACCAGGCCCTGATGGCCGCCCCAGCCGGGTCTCCTTCCAAAAGGCCCAGGTTCTTACAGCCTTTCATGTATGGACCACGACATGCCTGCCATGATCCTCCGTGTCCACTGGGGCCTGCCTGAGCGGACACATGCCGGGCCTGAGCGTCCTACCATGGGCCGCTGTGCCTTCCGCAGGGCTGAGGTGCCCCTACCAGAGCACATGATGCCAGGGGCTGGGCCTGGGCTCCAGGCTGCAGCCTGTGTCCCACTCCCCTGCCACTCACCTGTAGGCGGCCCCGTTGAGCTCAGGGTGCACAACGGCTGGGTCCATGCTGGCCCAGTGAGTGGCGGCTGTCAGGTGGTCCTTATTGACGCAGTTTTTCAAACTGTCCGGGATCCGGCCTGGGAGGAGCAAAGCGAGGAACGATGGCCCCCAGGTGAAAGCAGCGCAGCTCCCAGGGGAGCCGGGGTGGCCGCTTGCGAGAACCCACTGCCCCCACGGGCCCTTGGGGACAGCGGGGTCCTACTGTCTGGGCACAGTAACCCTTGGTGGGGATGCCCGCCCCAGGGCCCCTGTGCTGAGCCCAGGAGTTTCTAGAGGCTCATGTGCTCACACCCGGCCTTTGCCCCCAGAGGCCCCTTGTTCCCCGTGGCATGGAGTGGACTTGGCTGGATGCGGGAACAGCAGAGCACCCACCTGTGATGGCTCTGCGGATCTCCCGGGCCGCCTCCTCGCGCATCTCGATGGAAGCCTGCTCGCTGTACCATGCAGCATGGGGGGTGCAGATGAGGTTGGGCGCGTCCTTCAGGGGGCCCTGGCTAAAGCTACGGACAGTGCAGCACAGGGTCAGAGGGGTCCAAGTGCTGTGGCCAGGCCCTGGGATCCGAGTGCCTGCCCTGCAACCCGGGCACTAAGACCCGTCAGCCAGGCTAACTGCAAGGCCAGAGCCTGGGACGATCAGACCCGCTAAAGGACCTTGACAGCAGCAGGGGTGAGGGGTGGGGAGGGACAAATCCCATAGGGGGATCTCCAAGCCCCTCAGGGGAGGAGCTGGGGCTGGGGGAATGCTGGCATGGCTCCCCCTGGAAGAAGGGACTGTGGGCACTGTGGGTTGTGGGCTCTCAGACACAGCCCACCCCACCTGGCTGTCTCCTCTGGAGCTGAACATCCAGCCCAGGACTGGCCGGTTGCCCATGAGGGGATCAGCCGCCTCAGGCACCAGGCTACTGCATGTGGTGCAGGTCTGAGCTGCCCTGGCCTCCCTGAGACCAGCTGGCCCCCAGGAGGAAGGTTAGTCTAGACCGGGTCACAGGCAGGACATGAGGCCAGGACAGCCATACCCGTGACCTGGCTGCCTGATGGGATTGTGGAGACCACGTGTGGGTGGCTGGAAGCCCCGGACCACAGAGGGGTTGGGGAACAGTCCTGAGCCTGTCCCCCCCAGCGTTGTAGCCAGGGTGGGCCTGGCACCTGGAGGCTTGTCCTTGCTCACACAGTGGGCCGTGAAACCCTCCCCCAATGCCAGCAGCAAGTGCCTGGCTCGGGAGAGACTCTGTCTCCAGGTCACTGCTGGAGGATGGTGGGCAGGGCCAGTGGGCACAGCTGACTGCAGAGACCACCTAAGGCTGAGCGAGGATGGGCAGTGGGCACCACCAGAGGCACCTGAAGGGCTCTGACTCGTGCACGTCCAGGGCTGCTCCACGGATCCGCCCCTCCTTCAAGGCCTGGGCTAGCGCCTTCTCGTCCACCAGGCCGCCCCGGGCCGTGTTCACTAGGAAAGCCCCTTGCCTCATCTGGGAACACAACGTGAAGAGTGGTTAACACGAATGCCGCCTTACCCACTGCAGCGGCGTGTCCGCGAGCAGCCCACCTCACACCTGCTGGGGAGGACTCAGGGCCTCCTTCCCAGCCCAGGGCCCTCCCTGGAATCCAAGACTAAAGGCCCCGGTGGGCTGTAACATGGTTCTCACAGGCTGCCCAGGTCTCAGGCCTGCCTGGCCCCGACTGCTCCTAGAGGGCTGCTGCTGCAGCAGACGCACCGCATACACTCGGCTTCTTCCCAGGCATGGCTGGCCATGTGGACGCCTGGCTTGGCCCATTTTGTACGTCGTGCCTGGAAAGGATCCAGGGCATTGGAGCACTCCTGACCCCCACACCCAGGTTCCCGGGTGCCCCTCTCCTGGCTCTCTCCAGCCCAGCCTCCCTCCAGCAGGCCCTCACCATGCACCCCCAATGCAGCATGACCCAGAGGCCCCAGGTGTCTTCCCTGAGGTGTGGCCTTTCACAAGGTGACCCCAGCCAGAGGGCCCTGTTGTGAGCATGAGGTGCAGCAGAACTCTCCCTGTTCCAGTAGTTTCTTTTCTTATTTCTTTTTTTTTTTTTTCCTTTTTTTTGTCTTTTTCCGTGTCCGGCAACGGATCGCAACCCTCAGTGTCGCCCCCGTACCGGACCGGGACCGGCAACGGGATCACAACCCTCGGTGTTGCACCTGCACCTCGCTCAGCCAGTGAGAGGGAACCAGTCTGCATGTGGGATCCGAACCCTCGGGCAGGAGCGCCGCCACGCTTCCCAAGCAGCGCACTGTAGCAGTGCGCCACCGGGCCGGCCCCTTTTCTTATTTATTTTTTCAAAAGGGCCTTGGAGTTGGTTCCCCCACTTCATGGCAAGGGGTTTCCTGTGACCTCTATTTCACCCCAAGCAAGCACAACTAGCCGCGGTGCTCAGCACCATTTGTCTGGGTCACAATGGCTTTTCCTTGGTCACTTCCTGCCCGTGTGGCCTCACACCCAGTTCTTGGTGATGGCAGGGTTCTGACCCATGTCCACACACCACATCCTGCCTACTAAGAGACCCCAGACCCACGACCCAGAGAAAAAAGGTGCAGTGGCGGGTGTGCGGCTGCACCCTCTGCGAACTGCAGCAGTCTGGGGCAAACAGTGAAGATGGGGGCCCTGTCACATGTTGTGCACACACGTGTAAACATGGGACAGTTCACACGCACGTACCCACATACAAACACACATAAGAAAGTGCACACACATGACCGTGGGAGGCAATTCCCAGCTCCAGCTCCTGCCCTAACACGAGCAGCTTGCAGGGCAACGCCAGGGCTGAGATCTCAGCTTCAAGTGCCATCCTTTGGCAGAGGCTTACTTTTCCATCTATGCACTTAAGACCTTGTGCTGGCGATATGTCACTGAGGGTGGCATAGGAGGGTACACCAGGCCGCTGTGCCCGTCCCATCTGAGAGGATAGTAGGACTTTATGAAAATCGGAGTTTTTAAGTTAAGCGGCTCTGCCACTGCCACAGGCTGACACCAGAAGAGAATTTCAGGAGTCCTGAGGAGAACTTAGGAAACGAAAGAAAAGTCTGTGCAGACAGTTTCCCAAAGCAGGGACGGGGACCCCACAGTGCTGCTCAGGGAGGTAGGGACCTTGCCCTCAGCAGGGTTCTAGGAGGGACCTGCTGTCCTGCCAGCGCCGCCTGGGCGGCGGCACCTGCAGGGGAACTGCCAGCAGGAGCTGCCGGTCACCTGCCTCTCTGCACCTCCTGCTGGCCAGGGTAGCACAGGGCCCCAGACAGGGCAGCAGCAGAGCAGCAGCTGCGCCCACCTGCTTGACGGTGAAGTCGTTGATGAGGTGGTGGTTGTGCTCGTTGAGGCCACAGTGCAGGGTCACGCAATCACTGTGAAAGAGCAGGTCCTGCAGGGTGCTCACACGCTGTAGCCCCAGTGCTCGCTCGATGCCGTCCGACAGGTACGGGTCATAGAAGAGGACGCTGAAGCCGAAGGCCTTGGCCCGCAGTGCCACTGCCTGCCCCACGCGACCTGGCAGGTGGAGACATGTGTGAGACATGTGTGAGATACGTGTGAGACGTGTGTAAGATATGTGTGAGACATGCATCCCCATGGTGGGGGGTCAGCCCCTTCTGCCCAAGCTGCACCAAAGCCAGAGCCCGAGTGGCCTCCTCTGTGCCTCAGTCTGCCTGTGTGCAAGGGCAACACCAGACCCCTGCAGCTGCGGTCTGCTGCGTGCACACACACACAGTCTGCTCTGGCTCCTTCTGCCAAGCAGGGGCCATACCACGGGGAGCAGGAAGGGGAAGTGGGAGCCCCTTGGCATCAGCAGCTCATGCCACCACCAGCCACTCCACCACCCGCAGCCTGTCCACAGGGCGCAACATGAACCACCCTGTGCACCAAGGCTATGGTGCTTGCTTGCCTGGGCCCCATCCCTGGTCTATTTTTGGGTCCACCCCTCAGGTGTCTCTGGCATCTCAACTCTGGCCACCACTTGTTGAAACAGCAAACGGCGCAGGAGGGAGACCCTCAGGACCAAGGGATGTGCCTGTAGGATTCACATCTCATTAGCACAGATGGCAGAGAAGCCTCATCACAGGTGGATGCACTGGCCCCCCCACCTGGGCAGCAGCAGCCAGGGCATGGAGAGGCCAGCCCGCCAGGTGGTCAGTGCAGGACAGAAGGAGCAGGGAGGGCAGGATGCAGCCTGATGCTGAAGGGACCTCCCAGCCACTCTCTGGGGACTAGGCTTAGAGGGTAGAATAACCAGGAAAGCTGAGCACTTAGTCTCCATTAACCAAATTCTAGCAATGGATGAGCCCACTCCAGAAGGAGAGTGGCAGCTACCTTGTCCCTGGGACAAGGCCAGGTGCCTGGGCAAACCAGCCACAGTGGTGAAGGCTCTGCAGGAGGAAGTGGGGGCAGGCTGGTCTGTACATAATGCTGAGGACAGGTCATGGCCTGAATTCCAGAAAAGTCCCCAGCACAAACCCCCTGCTTGTCAATTCCCCCAGGGAATTTCTACTTCATGTTCACAAAGAGCTGGGGCTGGGCAGGAAGGGGGGTGGTATAGAGAGACAGAGACAAAGATCTGTCACAGTGTACAGAGTGGAAAGAGGTCTTGTTGAATCACCGGTCTTTGGCAGATGTCTGAATCTACTTGTGAGAAGAAACCACCCACAGCTATAGGTCAGCAACACCCAGCACCACCAGCTCACTCTCACCACCCAACAGAGGACAGAGTGACCACTCTGGGCATGAACATCCTTTACTCTAGTCTCTACCATTCTCTTCTACACAGTGTCTGGTATGCAACAAAAAATTATGACACATAAAGAAGTAGAAAAATATGACTTCTGATTAAAACAAAAACCAAAAAAACCAGAAACAGACCCATGGATGGCCCAGATTGTATAATTAACTGACAGGAACATTCAAATAACCATTATAAGTGTCACATAAATTACGGGCAAATATGGATGTAATAGGTGAAAAGATAAAGAATTCCAGCAGAGAAATGACAACCCTGTAAAAGAACCAAATAGAATTCTATAACTAAAAAATCATATCTGAAACGAAGCATTCACTGGATAAGGCTAACAGTAAAAAAAGGATCAGTGAACTTGAAGATAGGAGCTCAAAGCCAGTAGAAATTACCCAAGCTAAAGCAGAGAAGGTGAAAATTTTAAAAAGAAAAAAATTTTTTAAAGAACAAAAATGAACAAAATGTCAGAGACTTATGAGATAATAACAAATGGTCTAAAATATGTGTATATGGAGTCCCAAAAGCAGAGGAAACAAAGAAAAGGAGAAAGAAGAAATGTGAAATATTAGTAGCTAAAAATTTTTCAAAACTGATGAAAGACATTAACCCACAGATCCCAAGAGGCTCAGAAAACTCCAAGGCGTAAATACAAAGAAAACAGCCAGAGAAAACAATTATACATGTTCAGAGTAAAAATGATGGGAATGATGGCTGATTTCTTCTGAGAAGCAACAGAAGTCAGCAGACAATGGAAAGACCCCATGGAAAGTGCTGGAAGGCAGCTGACTGAGAATTCCACAACAAGAGAACAGCCTTCAAAAATGAGGGTGAAACACATTTTCAAATGACAAAACCTGAGCAATTGTCACTAGCAAGCCACATTTCTAAAAACGATTCTTCAGGCTATAGGAAATGATACCAGATGGTAGCCAGGATCTGGAGAAGGAATAGAGAACCAGAAAGAGCAAACATGGGTAAATACAGGGGAAAAAAGAAAATCACTGAAAAGCTACCTTGAAAGACAATTGGCTAATAGTTTATCATATAATTTATAGCATATGAAGAAATAGAAAATATGGAATTACTAGGAAAAAACAAGAGGGAGCAAAAGGAATCATTCTGTGGAAAGCTTCTCTATTATTCATGAATATGTAATAGTAACTCATGGTACACTGTAGTAATTTAAGGATGCATGTTGTAATCTCTAAAGTAAAAACTAAAAAATATCAGTAAGAAGTGTAGGTTAAACAGCAACAGAAAATATAAAATGGAATAATTCTTGAAAAACTTGGTTAATGTAAAGGAAGACTGGAAAGGAGAAACAAAGGAAAAAAGAATAGATGCGACAAATAGAAAACAGACAACAAGATGACAGACTTAAACCCAAACATACCAGTAATTATTTTAAAAATGAAGGAACTAAACACTCTAATTAAAAGGCAAAGATTGTCAGACTGGATAAAGAAATAAGACCGAACTACATGCTGTTACCAAAAACACACTTTAAATATAAGGACAGAGACAAGTTGAAAGTAAAGAATGGAAAAGACATGTGACACAAACACGATTCAAAAGGAAGCTGGGGTGGCTACATTAACGTCAGCCCAGTGAGAGCACAGAGAGACTGACAGCAAGCACCGGACTTAACAGTGAAATAGTAAAACCTTTTCTTTCCGGTCAGGAACAAAACAATAATGCCTACACTCCCTGCTTCTATTGAACGTGGTGCTGACAATCGCAGCTAATACAAAAGGTAAAAAAAAAAAAAGGAAATCAAAGAAATAAAAGGCATAGAGATCAAAAAGGGAAAAGTAAAGCTGTGTTTATTTGTAGGTGACACAACAATGTATGCAGAAAATCCAAGAGAATCAACAACCAGAATTTAGTAAAGCTGTGGGATATGAGATCAGTATACAAAAACCAAGGGTCTTTCTAAACACTAATAACCAACCAATGGAAAACAAAACTAAAATATATCATTTACAATAGCATTTACAATACAAAATATCCAACAATAATTTTTTTTTTGTCTTTTTTGTGACCGGTAAGGGGATTGCAACCCTTGGCTTGGTGTCGCCCGCACCGCACTCAGCCAGTGAGCGCACCGGCCATTCCTATACAGGATCTGAACCCGCGACGGGAGCTCCAATGCGCTCCCAGCGCCGCACTCTCCTGAGTGAGCCACGGGCTCGGCCCAATAAATTTAAAAGACTATGTGGAAAACTTCTACACCAATAATTACAAAACAGTGTTAAGAAAAGCTAAAATATAAAATAAACAGAGAGACATGTCATATTCACGTGCTGGAATACTCAAAATTGTTAAGAGGTCAGCGTTCCCCAAACTGATACATGGACTCAACAAAACGTAAACTGATGTGCTGATTCTAAAATGGGAATGAAAATGTGTGGGACCTAAATGCAACCTACCAGGCTTCAAGACTTACTACAGCTGCGATGGCGTGGAGCTGGTGAGGGCAGAGACAAAAGACAAAAAAAAAAAAAAAAAAGAAGATAGCCACAGGAACCACAGGAGAAGCCCTGGAAGGGCACTTTCCTTCCCAGCAGAGAGACTCCGAATGGCCCCGAGTACACAAAAAGGTGCTTCTCTTCCTTAGTTACCACAAAACTGCAACACTGCAGATTCCCACCAGAATGGGTTAGACTACGGAGACCGACAGTACCGAGTGCTGGTAGGATGTAGAGCTAGCGGGACCCTCCTTGGTGGCTGACAGGCGTGCACAGCCCACAGCTGTCTGCAGAACGGCTTCAGGTTTCCTTGGAGGAAACAAAGCCCTGCTCTGGGACCCAGGAGTGGAATGACAAAATCTAAGAGAGATGAGTGTCATGTACACAAAGAGACTTGCACAAATATGTTAACAGCAGCTTTATTTGCTCTAGCCCAAAATTTAAAAAGCTGGGTAAATGAATTACGGTACGTCCACACAACGGAATTCTGTTCATCAGTAACAAGTAACTACTGAATCACACAAACGTGGATGAAACCCAAAGCGTCATACTGACTGAAAGCAGACAGACACAAAAGGTGACATGTGCTGGGATTCCATTTCAGCACAGCTGACAAGACTGACCAACAGGCCAGAACCACATCACTAACTATCGTGGGTGGGGGCAGGGCTTGGGACAGAAAAGCACTCCAGGGAACTGTCTCGGTGACACATACGTGCGTGTCCTGCCAGCCCAGCAGTGCTTACTTGGGTGTTAACCATAAAATACCTTCCAGTGTGCACTACAGAGAGTGCATTTGCAGAAGGAAGGGAGGGAAAAAACAGGAAAAAGACGTAAGCTGTGGGCACTGGAGGCACGACATGGCGGGAGGCGGCCGTCTGCACAGTGGAACAATAAGCCACACAAACTGCTCACGACTTATGTTCATCACAACCAGCGTGTAACCACACTTGTGAAGTGAATCTCATGTATTCCACGCTAAAAGAAACCTAAACTCGGGGTGCGCAGAGGGGAGGAGCAGGAGAAAGTGCAGAGCATGGCCCTCGGGGGCATGACCAGCCTCATAGAGCATGAGGCTGTCCCACAGAGGAAGGCCACAGCACAGACAGGACAGAGAGGTGAGAGCCTGCAGCTGGCCTCAGAAGGGCTCTGCAATCAGAGGCCAGGGGTCGCAGGTGGGCCCCTGCCTGCAAGCCAGAAGCTGTGGAGTCAGAGGGGCCGTCCCTGCACCCCTGGAGGCAGAACCCACTCTCCTCAGCTCCCAGGAAGGCCCGAGGTGCTTCATCTGGGGACCC